TACAGCTCTGCTAGCATCTTCTGCCTCTCCAGCACTAGGTGAAAAAAAATTTTCTAAATGGCTCAAGCTCTTCCCCTGTAGAACGGAGGAATAACTAAAACACCCCATAGCATTCTCTCATTGGGCATGACGAGTGTCGAGCCTCACTCCTTGACCCTGCTCATTCCCTCAGGCTCCTCTTTAGTGTCAACTGTACACAGCACGTGGAAATCTATCAGTAGTGAAAAAGTGCTCTCACTGGGCACACTTCTTCGGGGCTCTGCTGTGTGCTGGGGCTATCCTGCCAGGGAGCCACTCCCACTGAGCTTATTCCAGGATGCTGTTTTGAGTCAAGGAGCAGAGCAGGCACTGTGGGAGGGTCCTAGAGGGACACATGGGGATATAGGGAATAGAGAAAGAATGTGATAGGGTGGGCTGGAGTCATGGGAGGCTCGTCCAGCAATAGAGAAGCAAAGCATAGGTGCTAAGGCATGAAGTCCAAGATCCTCTTCTGTAAAATGTGGGCAATAGGAAATGCCCCATCTCACAGATGTGATTAAGTGATAGAATAGTTAATAGAGTCTGATTGCTTGTTAATAGTTGGCTTTAAAGATAGTCTAAACCAGAGTCTCTCACCAGGGTGATTTCTAAAAAGATGCCTATTACTGGGTCTCACTTCAGACCTGTTGAACTGTAATATATTGTGTTGGATCCAAGAATATGCAAGACAGTGTCAAGTTTCTTGTATTTTTTTGTTATAATTTTTATTTTGTTTGCTTTTGTTATTTCTTCCTTTATGAAAGGAGAGAAGAGAGAAAGAACGAGGTAGGTATCTTTGATAGGACCTCTCTGTGAAGCAATTCTCCTACCCCAATCTGCCTATCAACCAGAATTACAGTCTGCCCACTGCCTCACCCCTGATGTTACAGTTGGCCATGGAACTGAAACAGGGCATCCCACATGGCCACCACAGCAGGACCCAAGCATTTCTTCAGGACAGTGAAGTTGAGGAACCAACATAGATCAGGGCTGACCTATTTGATTTACAAATTAAGGAAGTGAGACATGCCCAGTGTCTGTAAAGTAAAGGATCCTAAAATATTGTAAGGCTCCAAGGATAAAATCCTCCTGGATAACTCCCTTCCACTCTAGCGAGGTCTATGGCCTCAAAAAATTGTTTCCTAATCTAGGGGGAAGAAAAAGAGCAAAGTCACACATACCTCAAAGATGTGATTGTGAGGATCAGGTAAGGCCTAAGTGAAACAAGCACAATCCCCACAGGCTACAGAGAATGAATAAATGTGCAATTCCCTGCACCCCCCCTCACTCTAATTCAGTTTTCAGAAGTGCTAGGTCCTTTCAGAGCTGACACTAAAAGTCAGCCCTAGTGTCAGGCAGCTCCTCCGCATTTAGGGCCACTCTGATCTCCAAAATGGTGTCCTCAGTTTCTGGGCAGTTTCAACCCCAGTATTCATTACAAACTCTTGCCTGTTACTGAAATTTTACTGCTCCACAATCCACACTGGAAAAGAGAATCAAGCAAATTCTGACTCTTTAGTGGTCATTGTATGCACTGCTCTCAGGGGTGTAGAAATGTCTAAAGATTCCAAGAATGATAGTGAGTGATAAAAGTTGTGTACAGTTTGGGGGTTTTAGTTGTCTCTTTTAAATCAAGCTACCCAAAGTCCAGAAAACCCACAGAAGATGAAGCTATTGTGGCGAATAGAGAAAGAATGTGAAGCTATGGGGATATAGGGAATAGAGAAAGAAAGTCCTAAGGTGGGCTGGGGTCATTGGAGGCTCATCTAGCAATAGAGATAGGTGCTATGTTTATCTCTGTTGCTAAGATAGCAAAGCATAGGTGCTAAGGGCCACGAAGTCCAAGTTCTTCTTCTGTAAAATGTGATATTTATATACTCATTGCCAGTTTTCAGAATTTCTCAAATGTATTGTAGTTATCAATCCAGTTTTCAAATCTTATCACTTTGTACACACCAAATATTCCTCTTTCACTTGCATAAAACTTGTTACTATGGTGTCCTTAATCCCTTCCTCCAACACAGCATGGAATAATTGTGTATCTCCTCTGAATGCAAGTCCTTAAGAGCAGGCTGCCTTGTAAGCCCTTTCCAACATTCTATCATCATCAACTTTGAGATTTATCTTCTGGACTCCACTCCATCTTCATTAAAATCATAAAAGTCTTCCAATCAAAATACCAGAGATATTCTTCACAGATCTATAAAAGACAACCATAGAATTGGTCTGGAATCATAAAAGACCTCTTTTTGCCAAAGCAATCCTGTGCAAGGAGAGTGGAGTGGGTGGCATATGACTCCCTGAACCCAGGATATACTATAAAGCTGTGATCATAAAAACAACATGATATTGGCACAAAAACAGACAGGTGGACCAATGAAACAGAATATAAACTCCAGAAATAAACCCCAGAGCTTACACACAACTGATTTTTAACAAAGGATACCAATCAATCCGTTGGGAAAAGGAAAACCTCTTTAGTAAATGGTGCTGGAAAACCTGGGTATCCACCAGCAGAAAGATGAATCAGACCTCCCATTTTACATCAACTCAAAATGGATGAAAGAGCTGAACCTAAGACCGTAAACTACAAAACTACTGGTGGAAAATACTAGAGAAACTCTGGGAGACATTGAGGTAAGCAAAGACTTTTTTTTTTTTTTTGAGAGGTTTTTGCTATAGGGCGCGTGTGCTCCCCAGACAGCGAGAGAGGAAGTAAGAAATCACCCCCCAGAGGGGATGGCCATGCTGCAATCCCTTCTCCTCCATTCTCCTCTCAGGATCTTGGGCACGCATGCACACGCGCCCGACGTGAGTTTAAGCCACTGGGTCCAGGACTCAAACCACGGTCAACTATGTGGGAGTCCAGCGACATAGCCATTATGCTAACTGCTGGTCCCAGCAAAGACTTTAAAAAATATTCCCAAAGCACACGTAACAATCCCTAAAATAGACAAGTGGGACTCTATCAGACTACCAAATTTCTGCACAACAAAGGGCAGAGTAATTAGTGTAAATAGACAACCCTCAGAATGGGAGAATCTTTTTGTAAAATATGCCTCAGACAAGAGATTGCTAACCAGAATACACAGGGAACTCAAACCGCTTACTCAAATAAAAATGATGAACCCAATTAAAAGATGGGAAAATGAGCTGAACAAAAATCTCTCTAGGGAAGATATATGAATAGCCACAAAGCATGTGAGGAAATGCTCAACATCCCTCATCATAAGGGAGATGCAGATTAAAACCACAATGAGATACCACCTAATCCTTGTCAGAATAGATTAAAATGTAAAAAGTGATAAGTGTTGGCAAGGATGTGGTGAAAAGGGAACTCTCCTACACTGTTGGTGGGAGTGTAAACTGGTTCAGCCACTGTGGAGATAAATATGGAGGTCCCTCAGAGATCTACAAATTGGACTACCATTTGATCCAGCAATCCCACTTCTGGGTATCTACCCAAAGGACATGAGAATGCTCAGTCAGAAAAGTGCCTGCACATCAATGTTCATTGCAGCATTATTCACAATCACTAAGACATAGAACCAACCCAAATGTCCACATATGACTGGATTGGAAGAGTGTAGCACATATACTCTATGGAATACTACTCAGCCATAAAAATCAAGACCTGGCAGTTGATAGAAAGTGACCGGATATGGAGGATCTATTGCTGAATGAATCAAACCACAGGATATGAGAGATATTGTATATAACCACTTAATATATACCGACTATCTGCATTTTATGGTTGAGATCAAAATATTGGAGGGCATAAAAGCAGTGAAAATAGTTAGGGATGCTGAAGACAGTGTGGAATGGGGCGGGAGAAGGGAAGAGTAAGAGAAGGATAGCAAGAGAACAAATAAAGAGGCATGATATTAGTGGGACACAGAAATGGTTTAGTACGTGTTGATGATAACATGTATAGTATTCTCAACTGGCTGGTCTGAGAATTATAACATGTTGGATAATTTATTTTAGAAGTAAAATGATATTTAGTGATTGAATGTTTAAAAAAGTAATGAGAATAATAATAATACTCTTGAAAAAATGATGAAAAGCTATTTGATATTGATGATGTGCATAGTAATGTCTTTGTCTTGACTGATATGCATGGTATTCCTTCTGGAAAAAGAAAGGTAATGCACTGTAAAGATATATGTGATTCAATGTAATGTAATCAAGATTATGATAATAAATTATTTTAAAAAGAAAAAAAAATTGTAAAAGTCTACACAGACTGATGCACATTTGGTGAATCGATTTGTGACTAGGGCGTTCACTCTACCTGCATCCATGACGTCTTCCTGATTTGTCATAGCAGTGGGATCTGTTCTACCTCCTGGGGATGCTGTCCCTGGAAAGCACTAGAATCGCCCAGGCTCCCTCCTTCCCACTCACCCATCCAGCCATAGCACCCCCAGTAGGCTCCGATAAGTACAGCAGCCCTCCTGCCTGAAACCCCTGCCCCTTCTCTGAGGCCCTCTAGGCTAGAATCTGCGATTAACCAGGCAGTCACATTCCTTTCTCTGACTTCCTCCTCAGTGGCCTTGCTGCCAGCGTCGTCCTCGCTCCTCCCCCTCCAGCTTCCTGCTTTCAAGAGCCCTCTCCAGCCACGCCCAGCCTAACCTACTCCCAGCTGGATCCATTTTTAATATTCTGGACTGGGGGAACCCGGAGAGGAAACGGGCAGTGGCCATAGTTGGCAGCAGGTAGTAAGGCGCGGTCCTGCTGGAGGCGACTAAGTGGGCGCACTCCCTGGACCTGCTTCGTCCTCTCACTTTTTCCCGCGCTCCGCTGGCGGCCAATGGGCTTCCACAGTAGGTGGTTACTGTGTAAGTGAAGATGGAAGGACTTAGGCTCCGTTAAAGAGCAGGATTCCAGTGGCCAATCAGACAGCGACTCGTAAATGGCAGGCAAATCTTTCCTATCCTTAGCCCCACCTACCCTGTTTCTTACTTGGGCGAGCACTTCCCTTCACATCTCCGTCGCCTTCGGAAGCTCGTGACTGGGCTCCTTCCCCTAAGAGCCGGACCTGCATTGGGTGCTAAATTCCGAAACTAGAGTTGGCCGCTAGCGAGTCGTACAGCCGAGTCGGTGAGCCGGGCGCTTGATTGCTCTGTGTGCGGGAGGGGAAGGGGCTGGGCGCCAGGGCCCGAAGTGCTGGAGGGTTCCCAGGGCATGGGTTTTATTTTAGCGGCTGCCACTTGTCCCGCTGTGTGCAGCAGGGAGCGGAGTAATGGGCTTGAATGAGGTTTAGGATCAGTTGCCATCCCTATCTCTGCCTGGCAGAGCTAGAGAGAGAGACTGGGAGAGAAGAGCGAAAGAGGTGGGAAGGTTGACAGGAGAGAGGGAGGAAGGGGGTGGACAAGCACAGGGGTACAGAGAGGAAGGGAGGGAGGGAGAAAAAAGAGATTGAAAAAAGAGAGGCAGAGACAGAGAAATTCC